AGCAGCTGTAAATCGCGGCTGCAGGCTGTAGATAGCCTCCTTGGTCATTTATTTGGGATTGACTGCTGTACGTGCGTCTGCTTCGCCGTATATTAGAAGTGCAACGAATGCACGTGGCTCTGTGTACGTCGAGGGGATTGTGACCCCTCTCACCCGGTTCCTTGGGAGAACAGAATCCTTGCTTGGGCGGACTTTCCATCGCGGCTGGGTAGCCAAGCATCGGGGCGCGGTTAGCATAGATGATCTGACTTATCTGACTTCACACAATCATTCGTTTTTACGTGACTGTGACAACCAATCCATCGAAGTCGAACCAGCACTTACTTTCGCTCCACTGGTCATCAAGTTCCAATACACGTTCCAGCAATAAATCGCGGCCCCGACTAGGTGCACAGCATGCAGGGCCTCCTGCTTGTTCAGCACCTCAATGTCCCACAGCGATATGGACGAGGGGTCGATCCGCGAGGCCTCCTGGGCGACGAGGTCGACACTGTTGGGGCTGGCCCGTGTGATAACGCGTCCTGTGGCTGGGTGGAAAATGGCGCCTGCAGTGCATGGCATGTGCAGAACATGCATGCGAGACAGACCACCACAGGAAACAAAGCCCTGGTGAGGTCAGTGTACGTACTGATTTGATTTAATGTTGAGAGATGTAAGCAAACAAGGCCTGCTGAAATATATTTCACAGTGCGTATCCGTGGTTGTCAGAATGTGCTACTCCGCACTACTGCGGTGACCCTGGGTGGTATCACTGCAAGGAGAGGCGGCGGTGCCCGCTTGGCAGCGGGAATATTGGGGACGCGGCATAGGATCCTGCCCGGACAAAGTGCCAGTGTGGATTCGATGGCCATGTTAAGAGTGCAGGTAGGGGGTTCGACTACTATTGGTTGGCTGGGAGAGTTCCCCGCAGTCGTGTAGCACTCCGCTGTGGTCTAACAAACCTGAGTCATCACGTCGTCCCAAGCAGACCTTGTCAAACCATTGCTCCACAACATACAGGTGTACAGCCATTCTATGTCTGAGAAACCCAGCCGGCTGTTACACACGTCTAACCTCGCGCCCTCACCCTCAAGCGACATCACACCCAATCCAGTCTGAGCTGCTTGTAATCCCCACTGATTCGATTAATGCAAGGGATTACTAGATCTCAGTTTAACCCGGGTGATCCACCTGCGTTAGTTCGGAGGTGCAGTGACAGTGTATCGGTGTATCAGTTCAACCATCCGTCTAACGAACTGGGACTGACCAGTGATGCTGACGATGCCTGGCCAAAGCCTGTCCTGCCGTTACAATATATTGTACATAGAACATCCAATCGTATGTGCTCGATTCACAATCGCTTGTACATTAGTACTTTAGCAGGCTAATTATGAATATGGTTAAGAGGCTGCTGATCGAGGCTCATCAGGCCCTTTGTAACCAACGAACAACGAACATATACTCTAAGTTATATGGCATCTCACCTGTATGTAGCAGACCACCCAGCCAATTTCTGGGTGATCCGCTACGTACAGGCATAGCTGGATGGGTTGCTTGGTTGTTTAAACTACTAAGCAACTCGTGCATGTGCTTATTAGTAACGAACCGGCCTGTACACATAGATGCAGGAGGACTGGCCTGTATGTACGGACGAATGCAGGGGGACTGGCCTGTATGAAGGTATGTAGGGGGACCCCGCCCTTTTCCCGGCTTCGAGGAAGCCAACACAACTTGTCCCAGGCAGGACGGGTGCACCACTGATGATGTGCTTGGATGACTTACCGATAGGTAGGGGGAATGACACAGGTGTTGGAAAAGGTGGAGGCGGCGATGGTAAACTCGGTGGACGGGGCGGTGATGGTGAAGATGGCGGTACTGCCGGAGGGTGAGCAAATAGACAGGCAGGGTGGACGTTAGGGATTAAGGGGGCCATGGGTTGGGCAGGTGTTATTGCCAGACACCAAGCGGTTGAGGATCCATCTCTACATTATTGGACGACTCTGTATCCAACTGACACTCTGACGGTCCTTCCACACATACACTGATAGTCAGGTGTTACAGTCAGAATCTCAGAGAGGCGCTTGGGTATGTGTGCACACCTACATATGTGCATGCATGCCTGTGTGCCGCATGTGTCCCGCCTAGCTAATAAGTGTGACACCCGTGTGATGCCCATGCAGTGACCATGTGCCTGCTATCAGAACGCAGGTGCAAACCTTTCCAAACTGTGTTGCAGCCAACAGAGGCAGGTGTATACATGGGACTAATGAATGGGATGGGGGGGTTCTTCCCGGCGAGGCTAGCCCTGGAGTTCTGCAACGTTTCCGAGTCTTGTCTATGTCGCACTACTACTACCCAGAGACTTGCGTGCTGCTGACAAAAGATGTTGATTGTCAAGTTAGGAGGTACATACGTACATACATGTACATTTCTCACAAATAAAGATAATCATCAATGCATACCCGCTAGCAATTCACCATTCGACTAGTAACAAATGACCATCACGCACCGCAATTGAACTGGGTAGGCGCTGATGTGACGTACGTGGCATTGCCTGGTGCACTTGAGATAACGAAGCGCTGGTTGGCACTCCAGTCGCAATCCCACTGCTGGAGAGGAAGTGCGGCAGCTGAGGAGCCTACTGCTGCACCTGCGTGTGTATGTATGTAAGTACGGCGGTGTTCATATACGTCTGCAGTGAGCTACGTAGGACAAAGTGTATGTCCACGATTATTCCACTGAGACAGGTGCTACACATCATCATCCAAATGTGGCTGCTGATGTCGCTTCCCTCACTTCCCTCATCCCACTACTCCGCCGGGGGTCTACCCCATCCACCGCTCACCTACGTCCACACCCAGGCACTTGCCGCTACTCCGAGAAACCAGGTACACTTGATCCGGGCTACAGCTCTGAATGATGCGCCACTGGCTGTTAAGGAACACGTTGCCCTCTCGGCCCGTCGGACCGTTCAAGCAGACATACAAGATGATCTGCATGTACATATACAAGCAAATTCGTGATTA